AAGGGTTGGAAACATACGTACACTAAATAATAGGTTTTATGAAAGATTTTCTTACGTGTTTTCATCTGGGTCGTCTAGGTATATGTTTTTTTATATACATTTTGTTAACAGATTTAACTGCAAATATTATGTAGTCTAAATTGTTACGAGAAATGGTGAACCCATAAGTCGAGGAGAAACAAGAAAACGGAATGATGGTGGCATTGGGCCCAACATGTTCCTACAGACACGTACAATTCAAATGAACTTTAATTATATATATTATATATCCAAATATTTATCCCTTCAAACTAACTTTAATAAATTATTTTTGTGTGTGGATTTATATTTTGAACTTAAAAATAATTATTTATCCTAGATGTATTTCCAATGCCCCATAATCAAACATAAACAAAAGGAAAAATCATTTGCAATAATTAGAAGGCTTCAACTATAGAATCAATTAAGCAATATTTTCTTGTGCAAATTAGTAAGCTTTAAAGAACTTTCTCTAATAACTTCCAACCTAAGTCAAGATCAGAAAAGAACACTGTGGCCTTCCCAAGGCCAATGATACCTTTTATGTAGAACTCAGAAGGGAAAACAAAAGGAAAAAAAGGGACAAAAGTTTAATGGTACCTTTTATACAATTCCCCAAAGGTTCCCCCAAAGACGTTTCCTAAACAAGCCTTCAGCACACTGGTGACCTTCCCATAGCTCGAGCCCACCGGTCACAATCCCAGGAAAAACCACGAGATGATTCACCGTCAAGCCCTCTTTCCTCAACTTAACCCCGGTGGGTCGGTCAACGGCCCGGTTATCTCCTCCGTCACGTATTGAGGGATCAAAGCGGCATTGTGTTATACAACAATAACAAGAGCCACCATTGAACACACAAAACCAATGAACCAGCAACAACTGTCCTAGCACGACCATTTCTGAGAAGTATTCCTCTCTTTCCTGGGACTCGAGAACAATCCCTTCTTCTCGTCCTCGTCTTCAATTCTAGATCCTACAAGTTCGAGGACATTGACGAATCCGTTCCCTTCCTCCGCCGCCGCAAAAACGACATTGTATTTAAAATTCCAAAGAGATAAAATACTACTATTATCAATAAATGCTCTGTAGTTTGGCTAATAATGATCCTGATTCGGAACCTCCCTCCTTAAAAATGATCCTTTTTATTCTCCTCCCAAGTTGACACCGGGATGGTAAGATAACAACAGCCGCCGACGGAGTTACAAGTGGAAGCACGTGATTGGATATTGTTTATAGGTTCCACTAAACACTTTTTTTTATTACTCCCAGATTCCTCCAACTGCGGGTCCCACTCTTAATTTTATTTTTTCTGCTAGCATCGGGAGCGCTTGATTGACGATTGATCCCACAGATGTCAGACGATCGGACGGCGGTGTGAAGGTGGCGACACAAACCGGTGGATTTCAACGGTGATTTGTTAATGGTGATTTGTTTTCCAGCTCATGAAGAGGCGAATTTGGGATGATGCTGGTTTGTAGATAAACATGAATTAGTACAAATATTTTCAACTTTCGTTGTTGTCCCTCCTTTGACCGATTGACAAATTGTTTATAAATTAAAGAATTTTATTACAGAGATTTTGATAATATTAATACGCAATTAGGGACGGACTTAGACGATGTAGATGAGGCGATCATCTTTTAAAATTTAAAATTATCGTATATTTTAGATTTTATTTATTTTTTTAAAAAATTATTTTCGACTCTTAAAATTTTATAAATTTAAATATCTCTTAATATATGTATATCATGTACAACGATGTTTGATTGAAACTACCCTCAACACCACCAAGGCACGAGTTTCATGAGAATTATTAACTATTCATTTGTTTATCAATGAATTAGGATCAATAATTGTAACGAAACAAATTATTGGTCTAAATCTTTATTAGTTTCTTTATCATGAATAAATCGTGGGTTTAATTCACATATTATAATTAAATTAATCTTATTTATTTATTCTCTAAATTCTAAAATTCAATAGAATGATATAGTGATAATATAATTATGGGTTTATTTCATGTATTATAAATTACAAAACACTCCTTTAAAAATTATTTTATGTAATATAACTACAACGTATACATATGACACATGTATGTATACACGTATATGTATATGTATAAAACACTCCTTTATCCCTGTTGTGCTTCTTGTTTCTCGAGTTGCATGGTGCCTGTGGCTTAATGTGATTAGTTTTGTTGTTTTTACTGTTTTTTTTTCAGATTTTGTATTTTGTTGAGAAATGAATAAGGTTTATTACAAAATAAGTCCAAACTATAATATTTTTATAAAAGTGTCTAAACTATTTTTTGAATGCTCCCGGTGTCCAACGTTACCACTTTAGGTGCTCGGGCAGTGAACGACGTTTATTTCTTCTGTCAAGTGACACATGTCACAATCTAATAATTTTGAAATTTATTTTTAAAAAATATTAACATATTTATAAAAAAAATCATAATTTCTCTTAAATTATAAAGAAGCCCCAGATCTCTAAAAACCCCAAATCCTAATCTTAGTCTATCGCCACCGATATAGTCCCTGTCACATTCTCAATCATGTGTTGTCGTAGTTACCACCGATTGACCGTCGGAATCGTGTGGGATCACAATTTTCATCCAAGGGTTTGTGAGGTATAAAACGTCGATTCGTCGTCGACAAAAAAATATTAAAATATTTTTGACAAATTTTTTTATTAAATAATATTTAAAATCATATATTAAAGTTTTTGTATTAATTTTTTTTTCAAAATAACTTTAAAATCAAAATGAAAAAGAAGAAATGAAATTAATCAAACTGAATTCATAGATAATCGATTAAAATTAATTTTATTCATAAATAAAAGAGATAATTTTGAAAAAAAAATCAAATAAAATATTTGAATTTCAAATTTTACGCTCCCATTTGCAACGACTTTTTTTTTTGGCTCTATCTTAGGTAATAAATAAAAATTTGACTATTTATTCCCGCAATCCCGCCCATCTCAGGTAAAATTACTTCCGTTTTCAAACCCTAACATTTCTCTCACCCGCTATCATATCCTCTCTTTGTTCCTTCTCAAACTTCCAATTACACTCTCGAACGACAAGCATCTCGTTGCTATATCTTCAGTTGGCCTTTCGTATTTTTTTACGGTTTCTACTGCTTATGATTTAGTTATTTTTGATTTTTTCTTGATTACTTTTTATTTTTCAGCGACAAGAAGATGAAGAAAAGTGTTTGATTTTGTTGTGATTTTACTTCTCGATTTGTTAATAGAGTCCCAATCCCTTGATTTTCTCAGATGATTTTATCGTTGATGGTTTTAAATGGTACACTGCTCATTCATTTTTTATAGTACTTACACTTTCCCCCTTGATTTTCTGTTTTGGCGATGATAGTTTAGTCTTTATACTATTGGTTTTGAATTTCATACAGGTAACAACGTGGATCAGTTGTCATACTCTTGGTTTTGAATTTCATACAGGTAACAACGTGGATCATTTGTCTATGTATTTGGATGTTGCCGACCCAGAAAGTTACCCTGCTGGAGTGGATATGCACAGTTCACTTTGACAGTAAATAATCAACTTCAATCAGAAAAGGTATCATCGTTTACCTTGCTGTCTATGCACTTACTGTTCAAGGTATCATCGTTTATGATGCTATATTTCTCAATCTGGATTTCTTGATACTATCATTAATAATGCTATATCAGTATTTCTTTTTTCCTTGTAATTTTTTTTTTGAAAGTTATTTCAAGGTACTTATATGAACCTTAATTTTTCTTCAGTTTGTCCAGAATCAAGGCATCCTTAATATATCAATGTAAATTTCAAGAACCATATTGAGGCAAGTTACTTGCTTGGTTAATTGCTGATTCTATCATATTAGATATGAGAGTAATCTACTTTTACTGTCTGTCATCAGAATCAGTATTGCCTATGTTTTCTTTCTCTATACTTTACCTATAAATATGTCTTCTTTTCTCTCTGAATTTGCAGGTATGTTGGAGATTCTGATGGCAACATCAAGGTTTTTAAGATTGAACAAGAAGTACGTCATGTTATACAAATGAAATACACTATACCTTTCTCAACTTCTTATGGTAAGTCAGCTCACGGACAGCGATCAATGTGTGTACACAGCACCGCTTGAACTTCCCTCTTTCAGTGATATGAAGGATTCTGATGATGAAGGGTTTTCTAATGTAAGTTTTCTCTTGCTTTCGGCAATGCTAGCTAAGTGCATTTAGTAAAATTTTCTACTCAAGTATCCAAAACAATTTGTATAAATAATATATGAATCTTCCTTCCTTTTAATGGCAACTGAACTCTGTGATGGTCATCATCTAGTAATGGTCTGAAACATTTTACTTTGTCTTTATAAAATCATATAGGAGGAGATGCTTTGTTTTTTATCCTATTATTATTAAATGCTATTACTATTGGAATGTTGTGAATTTGAATTGTAGTGTCTTAATGGTTGGATCCCATGTCAGAGATGCAACCTTTTCGGTGTTGAAAGATGTAGCAAAGGTAATATTCACTCATTGTCTTTTAATCTCTTTAATTCCACAAATTATCCTTATAAATAAAGATTGGATGCTCGAGTTTATTATGTGTTTTACATATATTTTTAATTAAATAGACTACCATTGACTTTCTTGCCAAAAGAGTTAAATCTATAAATCATATACGTGGTTTAAGGGGTGATTTTCCCCGGAACAAACAATGCCATATGACAACCTTTTTGTTGTCAGGATCTTAGGTTTTGCATAGTTTTCTCTGTAATTTAAACTTTCTATGAAATTAATTCCGAGGATGCGTATTTAATGTTAACCTACTGGGTTTTGGGTGAATAATTGGAAAAAGTTATTATGTAAGTTGAGAGTGGATGATTTGGGTTGTGATAATCGTATGTGTGAAATTAGGCACATCATGTTTATGCATGGAATAAAATGTATGTTTATGAACATAAGTTTTTGATGCTAACAAATTGTTAATTTAAGGCATCATATTTGTTAAACTTTGGGAAGTTTGTTGCATGCTAAGTAGTTTCAGACTGAGAACTATTGTGTCTACTCCAATGAAAAATGGTACATCGTAAATGTAGTTTTGATGTTTATTGCATCTCCACTTTTAGGTTGGGATTTCTTTGCCTATTTCTAAGTGATTTTTAGGTTGGATGCTTAGCAAGGCCTTAGTGATATGCTTGTTGTTTGTCACATTTTTATTCTCCTGGTTTTGCAATTTTCAAGATAAATCCATGTGGTTGAACTTGAAATCTTCTGATACAAAACACATACTCTGTGAATGTCTTGAATGATTTTATTTTATATATCTGACATTGAAGATTTAATGGGTTCATTCTCATTTTCTGTATCGTTAGGTTTATTTATTTCACTTAAAGTTTAGAGTGTATGCAGAAATCCTGAGGTGAGGAGACATTACGAGCACACTCTAGCAATGCTCAAGGAAGAGAAGAAAGAACTAGAATCACCATTCCACAATGAGAAATTGTTGTCTGCCCAGTTAAAGCAAGAACTAGCATATGCAAAGGCTTAAAACAAAAACCTGTATGAGGTATAGTTTTATTAATTTATTTTAAAATTAAATTATTTATAAATTATAAATTATAAAATATCATAAGATTATATTAATTGAAATTATGTTAATATATTCTTAAATTAAAATTTTCTAATATTATTTAAAATATTTTATATAATTTTATATAAATTAATTAATTTATATAATTTATGAATATATTAAGGATTAGGATTCATTTACACTGCGCAAAACTCTTTTAGTTTTACACTTTTTAGTGCCATTGGATTTAGAGAAATCAAAGGTTGAGACTAACTCGTTTTTTTTAGTGAATATCTGTTCATTTTCCACGGTTAATCTCATTCTTTAATTTCTTCATCCAATGGTCCTAAATGGTGTAAAACTAAAAGATTTTACATAGTGTAATTAGATCTTGCCCCATATAATAAATTATTTAAATTATAAATTTAAAATTATATTAATAAATTCTTAAATTAAATTAAATTTAAATTTTTATAATATTAATTAAAACACACTCTAGAAATCCAAAGGTGAGGAGACTGGCGAGCACACTCTTCTAGCAATGCTCAAGGCAGAGAAAGAAGAACTAGAATCACCCTTCCACAATGAGAAATTGTTGTATGTCCAGTTAAAGCAAAAACTAGCATATGTAGCATAGGCTTAAAGAAGACATGCACAAGGTATAGCTTTTTTTAGATGTATTATGGGCCACATAGTTCTTCGACTGTTTAATTGTATAAGTTTGGAAAAGTAGCTTAGAAAATTTACTTACTAAATTCCTTTTGCATCTTAGGAGCTCCAATCCGTATGCGATCAACTTGTCTTGAGCAATGAAGATGTTTCAAATTAGAGATATACTTGAAACAAGAGAACAATGGTACGTTGCTTATAATGTTTTGATTTGTTTCCCTTACTGATTGGTTTTTCAAACTCTGATTTATTAATTTATTCTTAAATACAATTATTTATATAATTTTTAAATATAATAATATTTAAATTATAAATTATAAAATATCATAAGAATACATTAATTTAAATTATATTAATATATTCTTAAATGAAATTAATTTAAATTATCATTGTTTCATTTGGATAATGATTATCATTGTTTGATTTGGATAATTTATTCTTAAATTAAATTATATAATTCAAACTCGGATTATTAATGTTTGATTTGGATAATGATTATCATTGTTTGATTTGAATTATGATGTGAATTGTGACTTTATAGATTTTAAAGACATGATGTGTTAGATGATGTGAATTATGATGTGATTTGTATAATGTTTGATTCAATGTGTCTCTATAGGGTGCAATATTTTTTTTGTTAGTTATCTGATTGATTGACATTTTCTTTGTTTATTGTGAGCATAATTGTTTTGAGATTATTGATTGTATGGTATTTTGTTTGGAAAATGTCCTGTGAAATGTTGATATATCGAACTTAGAAATTAGGCAATGCATTTGGATTATTTATATATGTTATATTCTTACATTCGGATAAAATTAGAATTCTGATGATATATGTTGTCAAGTTATATAAGGATGTCACTTTGGATTTAGTGGCCTCAGCCTTTGTGGCAGACCCAACTTCGGATGATTTGTAAGGTGTACCGGTGCATGATTATTTGCATAATATTCGAATAATGATTATTATTGCTTGTTTTAGATTATTATTATTATTATTATTTGTTTTTTGAAAAATGTTATGTGAAATATGTTGATATATCAGATTTAGAATTTATGCGATGTATTTAGATTATTTGTATATGTAATATTTTACATTCGGATTACATCAAAATTCGAATGAAATATTTTATCATGTTATATTGGGTTTGGATTGATAGGGGAAGTTTAGTGTATTTACTTGATGTGTTGAATGTCACTTCGAATTAAGTAGCCTTTGTCTTTGTGGCGGACCCTACTTCGGATGGTGTGTTGTAGTTAGTGGTTCTATGGAACATACGTTTCGGATGGTGTGTAAGGCGTATGGGTGCATTATCATTTACATAATATTCAGACTGTGATTATCATTGTTTGATTCGATCTATGATGTGAATTGTGACTTTATGCACTTTAAAGCCACCGTGTGAATCTTTTTGTCAAGGTGTGTCACTATAGGATGTTATACTTTGTTTGTGAGGGTTCTGATTGACTTACATTTTCACTGTTTATTACGATAATGATTGTTTTGCGATTATTTGTTGTCTGGTATTTTGTTCGAAAAATGCTACGTGAAATAATTGATATATCAGACTTAGAATTTATGTGATGTATTCGAATTATTTGTATAGGTAATATACTTACACTCAGATGAAATTTGTTATAATTTTTTATTGGGTTGAGATTGATAAGGGAAGTTTCATGTATTTATTCGATGGGGTGAAATTCACTTCGAATTCAGGGGTTTATGCTTTTGTAGCGAATCGTACTTCGGATGGTCTATTGGAGTTAGAGTGGTTCCGAAAATTTACTTTTCGAACAATGCGTAAGTCGTATGGGTGCATGATCATTTGCATAATATTAGGACTGATTAATGTTTGACTTGGATTATAATTATTATTGGTTGATATGGACTATGATATGAATTGTGATTTTATGCTTTTTAAAGATATTGTGCAAATCGTTGGTCGTTGTTATAATATTTTTTCACGGTGTATCTCTCTAGGGTGTTGTATTTTGTTTCTGAGTTATGTAATTGACTGACATTTTTTTTGTTTATTATGAGCATGATTGTTTTTTTTTTGTTTGGAAAATGTTGTGTGAAATATTTTTATATTTCAGACATAGAATTTATGCGGTGCATTTGTATTATTTGTATATGTAATATTCTTCCATTTAGATGAAATATGTTATCAATTTATATTGGGTTGGGATTGATACGGAAGTTTTAGTGTTTTCACTCCATAGGGTGAATGTAACTTTAGATTCAGGGGCATATGCCTTTTTGGTGGACCACACTTCGGATGGTGTGTTATAATTAGAGTGGTTCTCGAACTTTACTCTTTGAACAATAAGTTGTATGTGTGCATGATCGTTTGCATAGTATTTAGACTCTGATTATTAATGTTTAATTTGGAATATGTTTTTTATTGTTGTTTCGGGCTATGATGTGAATTGTGATTTTACACTTCAAAGATTGGGAATTGTTGGTCGCTGCTAGAATATTTTGTCAAGGTGTGTATTTATAGGGTGTTATATTTTGTTTGTGAGTTATCTGATTAATTAATTTTTTTTTATTTATTGCATGCATAAATATTTTACAATTAATTATTATTTGATATTTTGTTCAGAAAATACTGTGTGAAATATGTTGATATATCGGACTTGGAATTTATGCGATGCATTTGAATTATTTTTATATTTAATTTTTTTACATTTGGATCAGATTAGTGTTCGAGTGAAATATCTTATCATGTTATATTGAGTCTTGATTGATAGTTCAATGTATTCACTCGACATAGTGAATATCACTTCAAATTCAATGGCCTTTTCTTTGTGTCAAGCCCCACTTTGAATGGTATGTAAGGTGTATGGGTCTATGAGTATTTGCATAATATTTTGAATATGATTATCGTTGTTTGATTTTGTCAAGGTGTGTTCCTATAGGGTGTTATATTTGGTTTGTGAGTTTTTTTGATTGGGTGTCATTTTCTTTGTTTATTTCGAGATTTATTGTTTTGCGATTATTAGTTGTCTGGTATTCTGCTTGAAAAACGTTATGTAAATATGTAGATATATTGCACTCAGAATTTATGCGATGCATTCGAATTATTTGTATATATAATATTTTTACATTTGTATCTGATAAGAATTTGAATGAAATGGATTATCATGTTATATAAGGTTTGGATTGATAAGAGAAGTTCAGTGAATTCATATGACGGGGTAAATGTCACTTAGAATTTCGAAATTAATGGTATATGTTTTTGTGATGGACCCCATGGGATTTCCAAAATGTCTGATAGTAAATCAAATTTTTTGGTCCCATCCCCCTACGGGATTTCTAAAGCTGAACGTGGATGCTGCTATTAATGGTGATTGGAAGGCTTGCGATTTAGGCGGGATTTTAAGAGACGAGTGTTGCACAGTGTTAGGATCTTTTCAAGAAGTTGCTGGTCTGGGTCCTTCTTTAATGGAATTTAAGGCCATTAAACATGGTTTAATTTTCTTTGAATCTTCTAGCTGGTGCTCTAAGAGACGGTTGATTATTGAGAGTGATAGTAAGTTGTCTGTGGAGTGGATTAAGAAATTTTAGATAAGATAAGGAACTTGGAGGGCGTTATTCGTTGGATAGCTAGGCTAGAAAACTTAGAGGCAGACATTTTGGCAAAGTCTAAAATTGGCTAAGATAGGGAGTTTTGGTTTGGTTTTGCTTTTTTCTTGTTTTAGCAAAATCCCAAATACATTGTGATGAATGTAGATGCGGCCATGTTTTTTGATTTTTTTAGGTTTTTTTTAAAATTTGATTTATTTTCTGATTATATATTTGGGATTTTGTTTTTTACCTAAATCTAATAAACTGTTGACATTTTGGGTTTTCTTTTCTGATTACATGTTAGTGTTGTTTTATTTGTAAAGGTTTGTCGGTTCTACATGTGACCAATTCATTTTCATGTATGCCTGGTTTGGTTTCTCTTTTTATGTTTTTCTATGTCTTTGCTTTCTAAGAAAAATTATTAGAAATAAAATTTAGGACATTGTATTTTTATATTATTTGTTTGTAAAAGTAGTTTCTATATATATGTCTACTTTTACAAACAAATATGTCTTCTTGCTCTATACTTTACCTATAAATATGTCTTATTTTCTCTCTTTCATATGGGAATTAATTTTTTATGGAAATTGTAAAGTAGGTTTGGGACTCGGAAAAGAGGCTCTTGTCTCATGTATATGTCTTTAAAGAAGAAATTACTTCTTTTGTAGTTATGCAAACTAGTCCTCGACATGCAAGTCTAGCTTCGGTTCTTTGCTCTACTGTAGGTTATTTCAACTTTCAAGAGAGC